TCGGCAGAGGGGATCTGTGATCAAAATAGGTCTGGTGTCTGCATTTGTTTGTTAGAGCCCTTGGTCTCTTTTTTACCCGTAACAGTTGAATTTTTGAGAGCAAGCCAATGGTGTTTAATTTGTTCCATAAAGACCAAATAGTAAATATTTTGCAAGTACTCAGCTCTGCATTATGCTCCAAAGCTAGCACTGTCTAGAGGACGTGAGTAAATGAAAATGATATGGGCTGTACTTCCGCAATAAAACTTTATTTACAGAAAATAGGCATTAGGGGGCCGGGTGGGCTCACGCTGGTAATCCTAGCTCTTGGGAGGCCAAGGCGGGCGGATTGCTCGCGGTCAGGAGTTCAAAACCAGCCTGAGCAAGAGCGAGACCGTCTCTACTATAAATAGAGGAAGAAATTAATTGGCCAACGTAATATATAAAAATTAGCCGGCATGTGGCATGCTGTAGTCCAGCTACTCGGGAGGCTGAGCAGGAGGAGTTGCTTGAGCCAGAGATTGGGTTGCTGTGAGCTAGCTGACGCCACGGCACTCCTCTTAGCCTGGGCAACAAAGCGAGACTCTGTCTCAATAAAAAAAAAAAAAAGAAAGAAATAGGCATTGGGCTGAATTTGACCGATGAGTGATAGTTTGCTGGCCTATGTGCTATCTCATTTATTTTCTATAGTCTGGAAGATAGAAACTTGAACAGATTGGGATTAAATTTCTTTTCCAAGAGTTTTTCCACAAGCAATTCATATCACATTGCATCCAAAGGTACATCCGTGCAGGATGTCCTCATTCTTAGTGATATTAAATTTGCTCACTTACCTAAGGTGGTGACATTGTAAAAGTACATTTTTCCCTTGGTAATTCATAATCTGTGGGTGATACTCTGACCCAGTTGGAACATCCTTTCCCAAGATGCTTACCCAGTAATTTCAGCATCCATAATTATCCTTGCTGCTAAATGATTACTTTGGGATTGCGAGAATGTGCTTTTCCAATTCTATTATTTGTTAGCTAGTGGTCTTTCTGTGAAATACCTTTCCACCATGCCTGGCTAATTTTTTCTATACATTTTTAGTTGGCCAACTAATTTCTTTCTATTTTTAGTAGAGACCAGATTTCACTCTTCCTCAGGCTGGTCTCGAACTCCTGACCTTGAGGATCCTCCCGCCTAGGCCTTCCAGAGTGCTAGGATTACAGGCATGAGCCACCATGCCCGGCCCTTGGCTTATTGTCTTAAGAGTCTCCCAAATCATTCAGTTGTGCTTACCTGTTTGTTGTCCTGCCTTCTCCCCTCTGAGCTCTACAAGGGTAGGGTCTTGTCACTTTTGTTCACTGCTGTGGCCCCAGAACCTGGAACAGTGCCTGCAAAATAGGAGGTGCTCAAGAAACATTGCTTGAATGAATAAAATGGATGCTTCTTTGGAAAAAAATGATCTTTTCTTTTAATAGCAAAATAATATATGTTATGGAAAACATGGAAAATACAGAATATAAAATACAGAAAATACAATTGAGAACCTTTATGAACATTTTGATCATCAAAGCCAAGTCTCACTTGCTCGCTCCCTCTGCGTGTAGGTATACAAACGGTGCATAGGTGTGTGGGTGCAGATGCAGAGATAGTCCTTTTAGGCCTCTTAAGGGGGCTTGGCCCTGCAGGTGCCCCTGGCTTATTTTTGGTAGAGACAGGGTCTTGCTATGTTGCCCAGGCTGGTCTCAAACTCTTGGGCTCAAGTGATTCTCCTGTCTCAGCTTCCCAAAGTGCTAGAATTATAGGAATGAGCCACGGGGCTTGGCTGCCCCTGGCTCTTAACCCCACCCTTCTGCTTCCATGCCATTCCTAAGGACAACCCTGGGAATGACCCTTCATTGAGAGCCTTCTTGGGGTCGGTAGCTGTTCAGAGTAAGGCTTTGCAACATAACCATGAGGTAGCTATGGTCTTCCCTATTTCCAGATGTGAGAACTGGGCCTCCGAGAGGCCACACAGCTGGCAAACAATGATTCCAATGGTCTGGAGGCCCCTGGGCCCCGGTTCTCTCTACCTGGGGCCTTCAGTGCCTTTAAGCTAGATTACCTGCCCTCTTCAAAGTGCTGCGCAGAGGGTCTGGGGCTCAACGGTAAAAGCTGGGCTGGATTCCAAGGACAGATGGAGCAGTCACATCCACCAGTCCATGGACTCTTTGGGGCAGGCCCTGACAATGACCATGCAGTGGGGCAGCCCCTTGCACAGGATCCTCTCGGCTTCCTGACCCTCCCACCCCAGCCCCTGCAGCTCGAGCACTCTGAGCTTGGGCATGGTGAGGCAGGAGGAGAGGATCTCAGTGGGGGAGGGCATTTCTGGGGTGATGAGGGGGCCCAGCAGGCACAGGCTCTCCAGGGCCGGCATTCCTTCCAGGACGGCCAGGCCCGGGGCAGAGAGGCCCCTCACGGTCAGCCGGATCTTGCGCACATCTCGGAGGTGGCGGCTGATGGCCAGCAGGGTGCCGTCGGCTGAGAGGGTGCAGCCTAGCACCTCGAGCCTCTGCAGGTAGCTCATCTCCTGCAGGCTGGCATCCAGCCCCGTCTCGGTCACGCGGTACGTGCCGCCCAGCACGAGCGAGCGCAGGGCACGGAAGCGCGTCAGGCCTTGCAGGTGTTCATCGCGGAAGGCGGGGACGCGGTCCAGCACGATGCACTCGAGCAGGGGCAGCACGGTGGGGTCCTGCTGCTTCATGAGCCAGGCCATGGAGATCTCGCAGCTGTGCAGCTCCAGGGTCCGCAGCGTGGGGGGCAAGCTGGTGATGGGCACCATGCTAAGGTCGGCCACGTGCAGGCAGAGGCGCTTCAGGTTGGGGCACTTCTGGCCCAGGGCCCTCATCAGGGCGGGCGACAACTGCGGGGCCTGGGAGCCCGAGAACAGGTAGCCACCCATCCGCAGGGAGTAGAGGCGGGATGCCATGTACCGGCGAAGGAGGTGCCACATGACTTTCGGCCGCATCTGTAGGAGCCAGAGATTGAGGCGCTGGGTAAGAGGCTGAAGACGGACAGCTCAGGATGGGAGGGTTCTGGTGCCCCCCTGGGCTTCTGCCCTTCCCGACCCAGCCTCCTACCCAGAACAAACGAGACACTTTAACTGCACCATTTTAATTGCTAGGACTCTGAACAAATCCAGTGGGGGAAAGAAAGATCCTAACAGTCTCTTCTGTAGAACCAGAGTGCATCCTCATTATCTTTTTTAGCAAGAAAACAAGCAAAGCAACCCACTGGCATTTTATCTTTCTCTTTCTTTCTTTCTTTTTTTTTTTTTTTATTTCTTTTGAGACAGGGTCTCACTCTGTCACCCAGGCAGTGCAGTGGCATCATCATAGCTCCCTGCAGCCTCCAACTCCTGGGCTCAAGCAATCCTCCTGCCTCAGCCTCCCAAGTAGCTGGGACTATAAGCACACACCACCACACCTGGCTAGTTTTTCTTTTCTTTTTTTTTTTTAGAGATGGGGTCTTGCTAAGTTGCTCAGGCTGGTTTTGAACTCCTGATCCTCCTACCTCGGTCTCCCAAAGTGCTCAGATTATTGGCTATCCCTTTCTTAATGACCACCTCTGGCAGAACTAAGCAACACAGACGAAAATTTTAAAAGGCTGAAACTGCCCAGAGTAAATTAGGTTTAGGTTTAAAAAAAAAGAATCACAGCCTGGTAACAGTGAAAACTACAAAAATTAATCTTGGTGAGTTAGACTTAGTAGAAAACAAAGAAAATAAAACTGATAGCACTGGGCATTTCATTGTATGTACATTTTACCTTAAAAAGAAAAAATTAGCTAGGCAGGGTGGCACACGTATGTAATCCCAGCTACTCAGGAGGCTGAGTTGGGAGGATCACTTGAGCCTAGGAGTTCGAGGCCAACCTGCATAACACAGTGAGACCCATTTCAAAAAAAGAAAGGAGCCGGGCGCGGTGGCTCACGCCTGTAATCCTAGCACTTTGGGAGGCTGAGGCGGGCGGATTGCTCAAGGTCAGGAGTTTGAAACCAGCCTGAGCGAGACCCCGTCTCTACCAAAAATAGAAAGAAATTAATTGACCAACTAAAAATATATATACAAAAAATTAGCCGGGCATGGTGGCACATGCCTGTAATCCCAGCTACTCGGGAGGCTGAGGCAGCAGGATCGCTTGAGCCCAGGAGTTTGAAGTTGCTGTGAGCCAAGCTGACGCCACGGCACTCACTCTAGCCTGGGCAACAAAGTGAGACTCTGTCTCAAAAAAAAAAAAAAAAAAAAAAAAGGAAAAAAAAACTGCACAGCATAAATTTTATTACTTTTTAATTATTAATTTTTTGAGACAGGGTGTTCCTCTCTCGCCAAGGGTAGAGTGCAGTTGCACCATCATAGCTCACAGCAACCTCAAACTCCTGGGCTCAAGCGATCCTCCTGCCTCAGACTTGAGTAGCTGGGACTACAGGCATGTACAACACTCAGCTAATTTGTTCTATTATTAGTAGAAAACAGAGTCTCACTCTTGCTCAGGCTGGCCTCAAACTCCTGGGCTTGAGCAATCCTCCGACCTTGGCCTTCCACAGTGCTAGGATTACAGGCACGAGCCACCTCACCTGGCCTGTTGATTACTTTTGCCAAAGGAATCAATTCTTCCTGGCCAAATTTAGACCTGTAAGTCTGGGTTCAGAGAAACTGATTCACTAGAAATGGTGGCCGCTGAAAAGTAACTCACAAAGGTAGAAGCCACAGTTGGTAAAATTTAAAATGGGCACAAAAATCAAGAAATGAATCAACTTCTTGAAACACAACAAACGAGAAGGATGTGAACTCCCAAATTTAGGCTCACGTATCTGATGTGCAGCTTCAAGAATACTCTCTAAGGTTCATAACATCAAATATGGCCAGGGATGTGGAGAAGCAGATTTTTCTCGAACTCTGTTGGGAAGAATTGGTCTGGCTTCTTTGGAAAGCGATGTGGTGGTTTCTGTTGAAATTTAAAATGTGGACACTCACTACCACTTGTTTAGTTTTTAAAGAATATATGTTTATGTTTTTGTTTGTAGAAAATATCCCTAGAAGGATACAAAAGAAAATGGAAGCATTTGCTGTCTCTAGGGAGACAGAAAAGGCTAACTTGGAGGACATAGGAAGGAGGGTTTAGTTAGGGTCTTAATTAAGGAGACCGGAGTTTTTCCTTATTTTACATATTTTGAATTTTGAATCCTGCATATGTATTACTATTATTGTTATCATTATTTTTATTCTTTTAGAGACGGGGTCTCACTGTCACCCAGGCTGGAGTGCAGTAGTGTCATTATAGCTCACTGCAGCCTTGAACTCCTGGGCTCAAGTGATCCCCCTGCCTCAGCCTCCCAAGTAGCTGGGACTCCACGCATGCACCACCATGCCTGGCTAATTTTTCTTATTTTTTGTAGAGATGGGGTCTTGCTATGTTGCCCAGGCTGGTCTTGAACTCCTGATCCCAAGTGATCCTGCCACCTTGGTCTCCCAAAGTGCTGGGATTTCCTATCCGTCAATAGGAAAATAGATATACAAATTGTGGTATGTTCAATAAACAGCTATTAAAAGACATGAACTATTTAATAGATTTATATGTGCCCATAAGAATCTCAAAAGCAATGTATGAAAGTGAGGTGTAGATGGATATATACTCACTATCTGCTCAACATCACTAATCATCAGGGAAATGCAAATCAAAACTGTAATGAGATACCAATTACCCTAGACAGAATGGCCATTATTTAAAAGTCAAAAAATAATCGATGTTGGCATGGATGCAGTGACAAGGGAATGCTTAAATACTGTTGGTGGGAATGTAAATTATTAATAGTATAAGCTCTATGGAAAACAGTATGGAGATTTCTCAAAGAACTACCATGCGATCCAGCAGTCTCGCTACTGGGTATCTACCCAAAGGAAAAGAAATCGTTATATCAAAAAGACACCTGCATTTGTATATTAATCACAGCACAACTCACAACTGCAAAGAGAGAAAATCATCCTACGTGTCCATCAACCAATGAGTAGATAAAGAATATATATAATGGTATTATATTATATTATATTATATTACATTATATTATATATAGTGGTATATATAATATATACCATGGAGTACCACTCGGCCATAAAAAAAGAATTAAATAATGTCTTTTGTAGCAACTTGGATGGTGCTAGAAGCCATCATCCTAAGTAACTCAGGCACAGAAAAGCAAATACTGCACGTTCTCACTCGTAAACAAGAGCTAAGCTATGAGTCATACAGAGTGGTATAAAGGACATTAGAGACTCAGAAAGTAGGAGAGTGACAGAGGGGTGAAGAATGAAAACTTAGCTATTGAGTACAATGTACAGTATTCGGGTGCCGAGCACACTAAAAGCCCAGACTCCACCAGCATACAGTACATCCATGTAACAAAACCCACCTGTACCCCCTAAATCTACTGAAAGTGTCAAATATAGCATTATCTGGATAGAAGAGCATTTTCTAAACTTCAGAAACACATTAACAATACTGTATATTACGTATGGACACACACATATGAAGTTAATACAGCCATAAAAGGAAGGATATGAATTCACTTTATAATAGTGGTTCTTTATGAAGAGGATTTCAAAAAAGCCAACGACTGTATCTATAGATGTTTTGTTATATACATTCAGCCCTGAAACCCCCTACCCAGGACACCTCTCAATTGAGAAGATAATTTCTGCATCCCACTCCTGGGAGCTCATCCCCCACCCATCAGCAGACTCAATTCCCGAGCCCTTTATTGCCCACCAAACTATCTTTAGAAACCCTTTCTCTCAAATTCTTGGGGAGATGGATTTGAGAAATGACTCCCATCTCTTCACCTGGCGCCTCGCAAAATAAAACTCTTTCCCCGCTGCAAGATCTGCTGTCTCAGTATATTGGCTTTCACTGGGCGGTGGGCAAAGGACCCGGCGGGGCTGTCACAGTATCGTTCTTTATCCCCATTTCGGGGATGGGGAAACTGAGGCCCGGAGGTAGGCAAGGAGCAGGAAGGCGACGGCACCGGGATAGGCCCCGGACTGCCTGGGTCGAAATCCCGAGCCCTGGCCCCGACGCACGGTGCCAGGGTGGGAAGGGTGGTCTTCGGGGTCTGGTCAACCCAAACGCAGCCTAGGCCGCCGGGCCGGCCCCGCCTACCGTGTAGAGCGTCAGGTCGACGTGTCGCCACAGCCACCGGTCGTCCACCAGCCTCTTCCAGCGGTGACAGACCCTGGGGGAGGGGACCCGCGGTTAGAACGACCCCGGCCCCGCGGGGACCGGATCCGCTTCTCCAGGGGCGCCCTCCGCCCAGCCCTTCCACCCCTGGAGGCGGGGCCGCACCTGGAGATGCGGATCCGGTCCCGTACCGGGAGGTAAGAGAAGATCTCCAGCAGGACCGAGTCCGGGAGTTCGGCAAAAGTCGCCATGATCCTGCTGACACGCACTTCCGCTTCCGGCCGAAGCGACACCAGGTCGGGGCTAGCCCTGGGGGGCGCCGAGGCAGCAGGCAGAGAACTTTCCTCTCGCGGGAACGCGGTTGGGTCTTGGGGTTGGACCAGCCCGGCATCCGGACAGGCTCGGAGGCCCCGGCCGGGGACTAGGACCACGCCCCGAAGGCGTGGCTGGGCGTGGCTATGGGCGGGACGAGAACCAAACCCGGAAGACATGGTTGGGGCGGGGCGAGGCCCGGATAGAGGGCGGGGCTGGGGACCAAGATCACGTCCCCGAAGGCGGGGCTAGGGCGGGGCGAAGCCCGGGGGTGTGGCCGCGAGCGGAGGACTTGGCTGAGATTTCTACTTTTTTTCTTAATAATGCTTTTCGATGCCTATGCACCATGATAAATTTGCAAAAGTGGGATAGCTTGTCCAAAGAGCCTGTTTAATTTTTCGTTTTGATTACTACTACAGAAATTGTTTGAGTTGACATTCCTACCAAATATATATACCTCATTTTAAAAATAGCAATTCATTAAAGGTAGTTAAAATTTATTCACACATTCCCATACTGATGGGTATTCAAGTTGATTCCAGATTTGTTGCTATCACCAACAATTTTGCAGCTAAGCATTTCTTTATATGTGTATACATATTTGTATATCTATTAAATATACATATGTGTGTGTATATATATAATCCTATGTTTTTATTTCTATAGATTACATTAGCAGAAGTCCGTTTGATAAGTTAAGCGACATATGAGAGGCCGGGCGCGGTGGCTCACGCCTGTAATCCTAGCACTCTGGGAGGCTGAGGCGGGCGGATTGCTTGAGGTCAGGAGTTCGAAATGAGCCTGAGCAAGAGCGAGACCCCGTCTCTACTATAAATAGAAAGAAATTAATTGGCCAACTAATATATATAGAAAAAAAAAAAATTAGCCGGGCATGGTGGCACGTGCCTGTAGTCCCAGCTACTCGGGAGGCTGAGGCAGGAAGATTGCTTGAGCCCAGGAGTTTGAGGTTGCTGTGAGCTAGGCTGATGCCACGGCACTCATTCTGTTAGGGACCGACCTTCCACAGCCCCACGGGACAGAAAAGCAGAGACATCGAGGATGTAATTACACAAGAGGAGGTTTATTTTCTGGCTAGCCAGGGTCCAAGCCCCAGAGCACCAACGCAGTGGTCACTCTTGCAGGCAAGGACCCCGACTGGGGTTGCAGCGTGCCTTTTATCCCTATGGTGCATACGCTATGCAGTGGCTGATCACGCGTGGTCATGCATTGACCTTTAACATGATTGGTTGGCTGGCAGCCCCACTATACAGGGGTCCGAACAATGCAAAGTTGGTGCAATCAAGCAAGCAAGCAACGGTTTCCATGGCAAGCAAGCAACAGTTTCCAGAAGCCGGATGTTAGTTCCGGCTTCACTGGGGTGTGGGCCTTGCAGGTGTGCAATGTCTCGACCCCTCAATTCTAGCCTGGGCAACAAAAGCAAGACTCTGTCTCAGAAAAAAAAAGAGACATATGAGGTTTAATTTTGAATTGGTTTTGCTAAATTGCATCTCCAAGAACCTATAATGGCAATAAATATATTTTTAACACACACACAGAAAAATGGAAATCAGACATTAAAACTGTTTAAAAAGAAAAACATGTATGCTCACACTTATCCATAAATAAATAAAAAGTAAACACTGTGGTTTGTCATCTATCAAATTCCAAAAGATTAAGAAATTTGAAAATACCCACATTAGCTTTGGTGTGAAGAAACAGAACCTCTCAAACACTGCAGGAAAGGTTCTTAGGGTAGAATTGATGTGAACTCTTTGAAAACAGTTTGTCTATATCAGAATGTACCCTGTTAGATCCACAATCCCATTTCTAAGATTTCAAGATTTCAAAAAGAATGAGGTAGGTCTTTCTGTGCTGTTTGGAACAATCTCGAGGATATTGTTGCCTTAAAAAGAAATGGAGAGGGCCAGGTGTGGTGGCTCATGCCTGTAATCCTAGCACTCTGGGAGGCTGAGGCAGGCAGATTGCTTGAGGTCAGGAGTTTGAAACCAGCCTGAGCAAGAGCAAGACCCCGTCTCTACTATAACTAGAAATAAATTAATTGGCCAACTAATATATATAGAAAAACTTAGCCGGGCATGGTGGTGCATGCCTATAGTCCCAGCTACTCGGGAGGCTGAGGCAGCAGGATTGCTTGAGCCCAGGAGTTTGAGGTTGCTGTGAGCTAGGCTGACGCCACAGCATTCTGACCCAGAAAACAGAGTGAGATTCTGTCTCAAAAAAAGAACTTACTCTGCTATGTAAAATACCATGGTAAGTGTTTTACCAGCATTAGCTCAGTTAATTTCCACAACCCTAAGTGGTTGATACCACTGTTAGGATCTGAAGCTTGGAGGTCAAGTCACTTGCCAGGGTCACAAGCCCAGAGACTCAGCTGCCAGAGACTCAGCCATTTGCTCCAAGGCCTGCTGAGAAGCTCAGATGTTGTAGGAAGAGACCTGCCGCGCACCCACCCCTAAGATTATTTCCCCTCTGGTGAACTCTGGGGGTGAGGGGAGACATTGCCTTTAAGTTTGGCTGAACCCAGGTGTCTCTGATCGCCCCCCACCCCGGGGCTCAGTTCCTAAGAACCATGTCTTATACCCCAGCACAAGGGGTAGAGATGAGGGAGGGAGTCAAGTGAGAAAGGGGATCCCACATACAAGCGCCTTCCACTGTGTCAGAAACCCTGGCAACAGTGGGTAGAAAGGACCTGTTCAGTTTGCTCCTTGGGTCATGACCCAGGACTCTAGCTCCTAAGAAGTAACCCCCCCTCCCCGAAAAAGCAGCCCTGACAGCCGATCTTCCAGCTATCCAGACAGAGGAATGGGGCTGCCGTGGTCCCTCAAAGGGTAGTCACTAGGTCCTTTCATGGGCAGCCCAGAATTGTAATCACAGGTTGCAGGAACGGGAAACAAAAGGCAAAGTGTCCAGTCTCCTGAGGCCCCCCTTGGGGCCAGGGAGGGAAAGGGTGAAGCTGTGGCCGTGGAACTCAGGGACTTCCATTGCCTCCTTCCCCCTCCCCAGGATGGCTCAACCACCCCCAAAATGGACCCCCCAGCCCTCCCCATGGAGCTCAAGCTACCCAACAATCCAGGGCTGCACTTCTCTGGGCAGCACTCCCCACCCCTTCCAATCTCCCCAGCTCAGCATCAAGATCCTGTGCTTCTGCCATCTTTGAATCAAACACTGAGAAATTAGAACTTCCTTTTTTAAAAAAGAAACTAACACTTCCCCCCCCCAGCCCTGGTTACAAAAGTAACATATGTTCAATGTTGAAAATCTGAAAAAAATACCAAAAAGTACTAAAGGGAAATGCGACTTCCAGCAATTCCACCACCTAGTGGTGACCACAGTCTACGCCTTGTGTGTGACCCAGTGTTTCTACGTGAATGCAAAGATGCGCTGCTTCCAAACTTCTCAGGCAAGGCAGGGCGAGGTGGCAAGGTGGCTCACCCCTGTAATCCTAGCACTCTGGGAGGCCAAGGCGGGTGGATTGCCCAAGGTCAGGAGTTAAAACCAAACTTCTCAGGCACATCAGCTCACCTTTGACCTTCAGCTTATTTGGTCCCATAGCCGGAGTTGCCCCAATAGCAGCAGAATGGGGGTTCCCACAAGGAAATGCCCCAAACCACTGAGATAGGGCTGATTGGAATTTCAAAGAAAGAATCTCTAAAACACCGGGGTGATCAGTCCAAACCATTTATTAGACTGACTTACATAGCAGTGCTGCAGCAATGTTTGAGAAAGACAGCGAGAGAAAAGGAGTTTTCTACCTATGTTCTGAATTAGGAAGTCAGGGTATGGAGTTTATATGAGGGTTTAGGAATGTGGCTCAGGGCCGGGGCCAGTTTCTTTCAGTGTTTTGGGCAACACCCTAGATCCTTTTATCAGTGTCTGAGAATGTTCAAGACCTCAGTTTGGGTTCAAGACTGCTGGGAAAACCCTGCAACTGGCTGGGTCACAGAGTGGTCAGGACACAGAAAGAAAGCACAGACGGGGATCTGGGGGACCCTACACAACCCTCACCCCCGATCTGTTCTGCTGCAAACTCTTAAAGGAGCTGGTCTAAGACCAATACTTACAACAATGCTGCGGTGGGAATTATTGTCCCCTTTCCTCATTATTAGAAAAATAAGCTTCGGAAAGGGGAAGTGTCTTGTTTGAAAGCACAGATTTTAACATTAAGGGATGAGGTTGGGATTTTGACACATGAGGTGTTCATTCGGATTCCCAGTTCTGGAAAACCCAAAGGAACTCTGCGGGGGCCAAAGGAGCGACAGGCTAAAGTTCTGAGGCAGGAAGAAGTCCCCTAAGCCCAGTGTTTGTGGTGGGACCTCTTGGGCCGGCTCCCTAGAGCAGGCAGCCTTGACGGTCACAGGGCATCAGCCCCTTCTCCTCCCTAATCTCACACGCTAGTTTGAGAAGGTAGATTGGGCAGGTAAGAAAGACATGGCGAATCAGGTTAGGCTCACCAAACTGTAAGAATCCTCTCTGCTGAGAAAGAATCATTCAACAGTTCCAGTGGGCAGAAGCAGTTTGTTTGAATTGGGGGTGCGTGGGGCCTGCACACTAGCCCTCGCAAACCTGGAATCTGGTACACAGTGCTCCTTGAAGATATCGAAGGGGATGATTTTTTGCAATTGTGCCATTTCCAGCCTCCTCACGCGGGCATTGCAGGTTGGCGACTGGTAGCTGAGCACGACGTGTAGTCCAAGATCAAGTTTCGTTTACCGACAGGAGTCTGCATCGCTGGTGTCCCGGGGTTGCCGGAGGGCAGGGCAAAATGCTTCCGAGGCCCAGCCCTAAGCGAATGCAGGGAGCCGGACGGGATAACTACGGGGCTCTATGCCCGCTGCTCATAGCCCCGAAGCTGCAGGAAGAGGCTTCGTCGGGCTCAGGAACCGGAGGTCACCGCAACCCCCTCCCCGTAACCTTTGGCGTCCCCACCAACACCCTGGATCTCCCCACGCCGAAGGGGCCTCAACGTCTGGTTGCCAGGTTCTGACCTCCGGTTATCGCTCCATGCCCCTTCCGCAGCCCCGCACGCCTACCGCGGGGTCCCCGGCCCACCCTCGGGACCCCAAAGTCTCGCCCCGGAACCTCAAGCCGGTACCCAGCCGGGTACTGCGAAGAACCGGACCGAGTGCGGACGCTTCCGGTCCTGAACTTCCGCTTCCGGTTCTCTGCGTCGACAGCTGCCGAAGTTTAGCGCTTCAGGCCGGAGATTGTATCGTCTGCGAGTTCGAGGCGATTTGGGGTGAGGAATTCAGGCAGGGAAGCCCGGAATCGGGGAAGGGTGGCGAGGCCCGGCCGCCAAGGGTCCGGTGCTGGCGGGGGGTGAAGCCAGGGAGCTTTCGGGCCGAGCCTTCAGGCGACGAGAAGGTGCGGAGGGGCGGCTGCCTGGGGTCCTCGGTCCTGGGACTCAGGACTCGGGGCCCGGGAGGACTTGGGTCTAGAGGGTTGAACGGAAGACTCAGTAACCGGGGGTCTTACAGGCTGGGACTGGGAAAGTTGTAGGCTGGGGCTTCTGGGGCCTGGGAGACCCCTGAAGTCCTGACACTGCTGCTTCCTAATCCCCGCCCTGTGTAGCTCCAGCCAGGATGATCGAGGTTGTTTGCAACGACCGTCTGGGGAAGAAGGTCCGCGTTAAATGCAAGTATCCGCTGACGGCCGAGAGTTAGTGATCCCTGGGGGGCCTGGCGTGAGGCAGGCAACTCGGTTTGTGTTGTTAGGATGGTTTTAATTAAACCCAGGAGAGGGGGCGGATGGGGTTCTGGCAGATTGTATTCAGCCCCAGAATGTCCTCTTCCTCGTTGTACTTCTCCCTTCCATTTGCCTTAACTCCTCTGCGCTCAGCACCGATGACACCATCGGGGACCTTAAGAAGCTTATTGCAGCCCAAACTGGTACCCGTTGGAACAAGATTGTCCTGAAGAAATGGTGAGTACAGTGGTAGAGCTTCAGGCTGGACGGGACTAGGCCAAAAGGTTTTGGTTGGGGGAATGCTGCAGGCAGCCATTTGCTTAGGCGAGGCTACCTCAGGCTGCCTCCAGGGTGAAGAGCCCTCCTTAGGCTTCTCTCTGAAAGGTCTCTATCCCATAGGTACACGATTTTTAAGGACCACGTGTCTCTGGGGGACTGTATCCTTTGTATGACTTCTTGAGGAAACACGTACATGCCCAGCTTCGGTTCTCTTTGTTCAATATTGACATCTATATGAGATTATACACACAAGCTGTTCAACTTAGTAAGGAGCACTTAGAAATCGGGTGCCATGTTGTTATTTTGTTGGGGGAGGAGGGTGGTTGATTGGTGAAATAGTTTGACTTGGCTTAGAAGACTTTGACACCTCAAGTTCAAAGTATTTATTGTTGAGTTCCACCTGAGTGCTTGGATTATCTCCAAATCAAAATGGCCTGGTTCCAAATGGCTTCATTAGCCCTGGTCTGAGTCCTCAGGCCACCACCCTGAGCCAGCGGTAAATAGATAAGAGGGGTCGGGATGGAGCCCACAATGAGGATTCCTTAACACCTTTACTTCAGATGAAATCCATGATGGGATGAACCTGGAGCTTTATTACCAATAGAGCCGAATTCCTTACCCCTGCCCTATCCTCCTCTCCCTCCCTCACCCCCTACACTGGTATGGATGCTTGTTTTTAAAAACTCACATTAATAAAAACTTAGATGATGTTCTGTTGTTGTCATCTTTGCATGAGAGCTGTCTAATGGTGGGAGGATTGGTATCCGGTTGTCGCTCAAGTTTGACTGGATCCATGAGGGAGAAGTAGACCGGCAGACTGGGAGCCCAGAGCTCTGGGGTTTGCTGTGGGTCTCTGCAGGTCAAGAGACCCCAGGATTATTGCCTTCCTAATAGACCAGGGAGTCTGGGTAGGGGCAGTAGATGTCACAGTTATGTCAGCTCTGCCACCAAGTAACAACCCTGGGCAAGTTATTTAACCTCACTAAGCCTTCATTTCCTTATCCAAACTGGAACAAATCATGTTTACTTCATGTCTACTTCATTGGCATGTTGTGAAGTGTTAGATGAGATAAACCATGCTTAAGCTTTAGCCATAGCTGCCGGGACTTCTTTTCGAGACACAAATGAGATTGTAGTAGACAGAGGGATGCAGTGTGGCACTATAATAAGTGAGGCTGTAAAAGCCAATCCTCAAGGGTCAGACCAATTGGGCTTGAATTTTGACTGATCCTTAGCAATGGGGTTCAGGGAAGTCAGCCTCTGAGACCCTCTGTCTCTTGCTCTAAAAAGGGGTACCACAATGGTATCCTTATCTCAATGAGATAATGCAGTCATTAAAACAGCAGGATGCCTGGCCCATACTGTTATTAGCTATCTTCAGCCTTCTTCCTCCAGATGTGAGTAGATAGGAGACCAAAGGCCCCACCTCTGTTCCCCTGGCCACAGATCCCATTGTCAACTTCGACAATGTCTTCTTGCAGAGCAGGAAAGGGACCTGAGCTCAGCCTCATTGCGGTGTCTGTCTCCGGAGCTCATGCAGTTCCCTCTCCTGTATTGGCCTCGCTGATCCTCTATACATAAGTGTGTTCCAGTCTCAGCCACTGTGCCTCCCCTCCCCTGCAAGTTCCGCCCAGCCTTCTGCCTGCCTTTCACCACTGCACTTCTTGGGAGGTGGGCCTGCCCACTGTGCCTGGGGTGCTACTGGCCCTTAGTTTATTAAGGTGGTCTCTCCTTGGTCTCCGTTAGTCACTTCCCTACCCATCCCCATGGCTTCCTTCCCATCTCAAGGACTCTGCTTCCTCCTGACATGTCAGAAATGTCTCTCCTGGGATCTTTGCTCTTCCTACTCTCACACCTGTCTCCCCCTTCCCCATGTATTTAAAAACAATTTTAAATTATACATGGTAGATTTAACAAGGGGATTCCTTAATTTCAAGTCAGCATGGAAGTATTAAGGCTAAAAGTAAAACCCCTCTCTTCATTCTTTCCTGAGGTCAGGCCTTTTTCAATGCATTTATGTTAACTTTAATTTTATTTTTAAAAGATGACTATACTAACATGCTTGTTTTAAAAAATGCAAATGTTTTGTTAAAAATTTAGTTTCTTTTTTTAATTTTATTTTTATTATTTATTTAGTAAGTAAGTAGAGACATACAGATGGCCAGAGCCCATCTCTACAACAAAAATTTTAAAATTAGCTAGGCATGGTGGCATGCACCTGTAGTCTCAGCTACTCAGGAGGCAGAGGCAGAGGCAGGAGGATCTCTTGAGCTCAGGAGTCTGAGGCTGAAGTGAGCTATGAAGACACCACTGCCCTCTAGCCTAGGCAGCAATGTGAGACCCAATCTGAAAAAAAAAAAATTTAGTTTCTTATTTCTTATACCACCTCTACCACCAGTGATGATCATTAATATATTTAAGTGAATCTAGAAATTTTCTGAAATAACCTAGAGTCGGTATCAAATGAGGATAATTATACATTCTGTAATGGTTATATACCATTCAGCAGTTGGCTTTTTTGGGCTTTTATTTTATTTTATTTTTTGAGACAGAGTCTCACTTCTGTTGCCCGACCTAGAGTGCCGTGGCATCAGCCTAGCTCATGGCAACCTCAAACTCCTGGGCTCAAGCGATCCTCCTGCCTCAGCCTCTCAGGTAGCTGGGACTACAGGCATGCACCACCATGCCCGGTTAATTTTTTCTATTTTTAGTAGTAACGGGGCATCTCACTCTTGCTCAGGCAGTCTCGAACTCCTGAGCTCAAACAATCCTCCTGCCTCGGCCTCCCAGAGTGCTAAGATTACAGGCGTGAGCCACCACACTCAGCCTGGGCTTTATTTTTTATATCTTTCCATATAAATTATTTCTCATTCTTTTTAATAAATATTTGTATTGATCGTTATTTGCCTGTTTTGAGTTTTTACATAAAAGGGCAGTAGTGGGGGCAGTTATAATGATGGAAACAGTCTGTGGAGTGCTGGCTGTGTAAGTCCTTGTGTCAATATATAGGATATAGAGGCCGGGCGCTGTGGCTCACGCCTATAATCCTAGCTCTTGGGAGGCCGAGGCGGGCGGATTGCTCAAGGTCAGGAGTTCAAAACCAGCCTGAGCAAGAGCGAGACCCCGTCTCTACTATAAATAGAAATTAATTGGCCAACTGATATATATATAAAAAATTAGCCGGGCATGGTGCTACCTGGGAGGCTGAGGCAGAAGGATCACTTGAGCCCAGGAGTTTGAGGTTGCTGTGAGCTAGGCTGACGCCATGGCACTCACTCTAGCCTGGGCAACAAAGCGAGACTCTGTCTCCAAAAAAAAAAAAAATATAGGATATAGGAAGAAAGGTGTGGAATGCAGGCTGTCAAATGAATAGGTGTGTATTACAAATGAATCACATGACCACAGGGAGGGGGACAGGGAAGAAAGGAGCGGACCTAAGTGACTTTGGAAAGTATCTTTTGTCTGAACACTGGAAGGCTAAAGACAAAAAGAATTGTACACAAACACTGTACTCTAGTTGGTAAATATGTTCCAGAGTGATTTAGCAATTCTGAAACTACTTTTGTGCACATGTATGTTTGTATATGTATGTAACACACAAATAGAGTTGAACAAATAAGTAAATATATGTAGATAATGTGAGCCAGGTTGCTCACTGCTGGAGAAAGAAGTTACAAATAAGATAGGAGAAGGGAGAGGTTAGCACGAACCCTGTGAGGCTGGATTAAAGTTGGAGCATCAATGGGAATTCATGGGTTTTGTTTAATATGTGTACAGACACAGAAATAGAGAGGGGTGTGTGTGTGTGTGTGTGTGTATTTCCTTGCTTTATTCACTTAGAGGGACCAGAAACAGTGACACACTCTGCTATCAATGAGTATACCTTTTACGCAGATCTTTTTTTTTTTTTTGGAGACAGTCTTGCTGTGTTGCCCATGCTTGAGTGCAGTGGCCTGATCATAGCTCACAGCAACCTCCAACTCCTGGGCTCAAGCAATCCTTCTGCCACAGGCTCTGGAGGAGCTGGGACTACAGGCATGCGCCACCATGCCCGGCTAAGTTTTTCTATGTATTTTTAGTTGTCCAGCTAATTTCTTTCTAATTTTAGTAGAGACGGGGTCTCACTCTTCCTCAGGCTGGTCTCGAACTCCTGAGCTCAAGCAACCACCTGCCTCGGCCTCCCAGAGTGCTAGGATTACAGGCATGAGCTATCGCGCCTGGCCCGTTACCTAGATCTTGAAGGGCATGTGGTCTCTGTCAAGTCCTTCCCAGTAACACATGACGTCAGTCTAATGAGAAAATACCAGATAAACCCATACTGGAACATAAAAAGGACATTAGTGGAAAAACTGGGCTGGGGGAATCTATAGTTAATATTATTATACCAATGTTGACTTCTTAGTTTTTTTTGTTTTTTTTTTATTTTGGCATATTATGGGGGTACAGATTTTAAGGTTTCAATAAATGCCCATTTCCCCCCCTCCCCCCAAAAGTCTGAGTCTCCATCATGACCATCCCCCAGATGGTGCACATCTCACTCATTGTGTATGTATATACCGACCCCCCTCCCCCCTGCCCAATACCCTATTACTGTAGCACCTATGTGTCCACTTAGGTGCTACTCAGTTAATACCAGTTTGACTTCTTAGTTTTGATAATTATTCTGTGACAGGGTTTCTGAGCTTTGGCACTGGTAACACTTTGGGTTAGGTAATTCTTTTTGTAGGGGCTTTGCATTAAGATGTTTAGCAGCATCCTTGGCTTCTAATACTAAACACCAATAGCCAGCAGCATTTCCTGCCCCCCATGTGTAACAACCAAAAATGTCTTAAGATACTGTCACATGTCCTCTGGGGAACAACATGGCTCCTGGTTGAGAACTGCTGTTTTATTATTATGTAAGATGCTAATATAAGTGAAGGCTGGGTGAAGGGCACCTGAAAACCCTACTGCTTTTGCAACTCTGCCCTAAGTCTAAAATTATCTTTTAAAAAGAGAGATCATTATTATGCTAATACATGCTTGTAAAAAAGTGAACATATTATATTAAAACTTAAGTTCCTCATTTCTTCCTTCACCTGCATCACCAGTGGTAGTCATTAACATTATTTGAAGGAATCCAGATGTTTGCTGTGATATAAATTGTGTTTTTACACAATTGAGGTCATTATACATACTCTAATACTCATACTGTTCTGGTAGCTTGCCTTTTTATGCTTTATGTGTTTGCTACCTTTCTATAAGTGATCTATTCATTCTTTTTAATTAGTTTTCTTTGTTGATTTTTGGGTTTTGTTATGTTTTCATACTTACTATCATTGCTGTGCTGTACTAGGACTTGCTTTTTCACCCAGCAAACAATACCAGCTAACATCTACGTGTCCTTGCCATGGGCCAGGTTTTGAGTGTTTATATCGATTCACTCATTTATTTAATCTTCACATCAAACAGAAGAAGTATATATTATTGCTTAACCCCACTTTGCAGATAGAGAAGCTGAAGTGCCCAGGCTAAGGAATGTGTTCAAGGTCATAGCTAGTGGCTGGAGCCAGGCTTTGCACCCAAGTCTGCTCCAGAGTGCTCTTAACCTTCTCCTGCGTCCTACCTGTACTTTGTTGTGTACATGTTTCCCTCTGAGTTCACCTCACTGAGCCTCATTCTTTTTAATTGGCACATAAGGGTCTGTGCTGTAGATGAACTGTAGGTGAACTCT